GCTGAACGTCCCGGTAACCGGCCGACTCGGCCCTGTCCCGTTTCTCAGGTGGCAGTCGACATGGAATTTGCCAAAAACATGTATGAGCTGCACAAGAAGGTGTCTCCTAGTGAGATCATCCTGGGCTGGTAAGTTCTCCATCTGCAGGAACACGCGAGCAGTCGTGTGGGTCCCTTAAACTACTCCAAGTGCATAGTTCCCCTCATCACAGGCTGAGAAGCAGGAACATTAATGCTTGTCACAGTAAGATCTTGCAGCTCTGGGACTTGATGATCTTACAGGTCTTTTCCAACCGTAATGATTCTGTGATTCTTGTAATAGAGTCAGTTGTAAAGCGGCAATTCATAACAGGAAGAGTCAGTCTGGAGACTTAGAGGGTCTGCCTTTGTTTATATCTAGCAAAGTCATCGCAGAGGGGTGGTGGGTTAGAGAATGCTTGCACGGGTTTATTAGAAGAACTGAGCCATGTGTAATGCAGCCTGCACCATGGGAGATAACCGGTTAGAAAGAAGGGAGAACATAAAAGAATGGTTTCAAGTGACAAAGGTATCAAGAAGAATCGGTGATACAGCATAAGCGTACAGAAGATCTCTGCTCAGAAGGGACAGAAGTACTTGTGAGTGGGATGTCAGGCAAGATCAGTAGGGTTTTATGGGAAAAGAGACACTATCTCTGCCTTTTCATGCTTCTCTGATCCTACAGCATAGCTTAGTTCTGTTCCTGTGGTGCAAACTTCCTCAGCAACCTTCTAGTGGCACAGCAAAGTGCACTTCTAATGACAGGACATGTGTGTGTGAGAAAGTAATTGCAGAACAGCTAGAGGAGCTAGATTAACAAGTTATACCTCCTGCAGAGACATGTGTGATTTGGGGAAGATTTACTTGGTTGGTCGAAATTTGTTTGGCGTGCTTTGACTTACACAGAAGTAAGGAGCTGGTTCAGAACATAGTGACAGCTGAATCTCGGGTGTCTGATGTCAGCTGCGCCAACTCTTTATGGCTGGTACTACAACACTGGGCACTTCAGTGCTGGAAGTACAGCTCCTCAGCCTGTGCTCTTTTGAAGGTATGCGACAGGTCACGACATCACAGAACACTCTGTCCTGATCCACGAGTATTACAGCCGGGAAGCGCACAATCCGATCCACCTCACTGTGGACACGAGTCTCCAGAACTCACGCATGAGCATTAAAGCCTACGTCAGGTACTTGGGGAGGCTGCGTTCCTGGGAGGGGAGCTCCCTGAATTACTGAGAGAGACCAGCTCAGGGTAATGAGACACCTACTGGGCTGCAGCATCCCATTTTGGACAGTGTTGTGCAGTAGCTAAAACCCAGTAGTGAGCCAGGGATCGTGTCTTATTTCTCATTGGAATGCCTTGACCACTGTATGTAAGTTGAAAGACTGAACTTTTGTAAGCTGGTACCTTGTTGGAGTGGGGGGACAGTGACTTAATTAACAGTGTTCTGAACATCTTTGTGGCATTTCATGTAGCTAGCGTTAATGTCACTAACTTCCATCCCACTGTCTGAAAGTTAGCCTGTAGTCACATGGGCTTTACTGCTCAGCAGTTTATTCATACAAGTTGGAGGATCAGTGCAGCTAAAACATAATTGAAACAGCATCTTTCTTCACCTTAACACCTTCCACTTTTATCAACAATGGAGAAGAAAGACTGAGAAATGAAACAGTTCACCTCACTGTTCTTCCCAGTATTGGCTGAAGAGCTCTCCTCTTTAAGGAGGAAACCCCAGCCTTTCTTTGTAGCAGAAGTTTACTGCTTCCCAACTGGGCATCTATTGAAAGGAATTTCATGACATCTTACTTAAAGCATAAATTGACTTCTAATCCTTTGAATAACAGGAGTAATAAAGGTGTTGCGTACTTGGATTTTTATCATATTTATGTTTGTTTCTTAAGTGATTTTGCAAAGCATGGAGTATTTCAGGATAGACGAGTATCTGCACTATAGGAAAGAAGTAACTGTGGCCGAGAAGACAGTACTTAGCTCTTTATGCCTTCATGCTGACATTTGTCAGACCAGCTAGGGATACTCTCAGATGAAAATGAGCTATCAGTAGTGTGCCAGGACTGATTTCCTGTCCTTGGTTATCCATGATCTTAATATTGCTGATTTTGATGTGAATGAGTAGCCTGCTCCTGTTCATGCTTCAGTGCTAACAGATCACTGAGATGGAAATCTATTACTTCCTCCGTTAAACATGTCCATGCTGAAAACGTTTTGTTGTTCTTTTTTTTTTTTTTTTTAGTGCCCCAATGGGAGTCCCTGGTAAAACTATGGGCGTGATGTTCACACCTCTAACAGTGAAATATGTTTATTATGATACAGAGCGGATAGGAGGTGAATGTTTTCTTCCTGTTTTGGTTATAACCATTGTTGTGACACTGTTCAAATGCTTTTTTTACCCTGGTAAAATTGCCATTCTGGGAATTCTACGGGGAATTCAACTGTTTTGCTGAAGCTATCCTAAAAATCTTCAACAAGTGAAGGATTTAAACTGTTTTCTATGGCAGTGTCTGTTTTTTCACTGATCTTTGTTTTGCTTTTAGTGGATCTTATCATGAAGACCTGTTTTAGCCCTAATCGAGTGATTGGCTTGTCCAGTGACTTACAGCAGGTGGGGTCTGCATCAGCCAGGATTCAGGACACCCTGACCATGGTGCTGCAGTATGCAGAGGATGTATTGGTAAGGCCAGATTTTTATAAGACAGCAGATAAGTTTGATGTTGTGCATCTTGCTTTTATGTATATTCTCTTCTAGGCCGTAAATTTACTTTACTCATGAAGTGTGTATTTCTTACGCTTAGTCTGGCAAAGTGGCTGCCGACAACACTGTCGGGCGTTTCCTGATGGATCTTATTAACCAAGTGCCAAAGATTTCACCAGAGGACTTTGAGACAATGTTGAACAGCAATATCAATGTAAGTTCATCATCTGATTTTTTTCAGTGTATTGCCAGCAATTTTGAAAGTTTGTTATGCCCATGACAGGGAGGTTGGATTAAATGATCTCTAAGGTCCCTTCCAGCCTAGGCCATTTCTATGATTCTGTGAAAATACAGATGCAAATTTGTCTGTGACCAAAACAATCCGTCTTTTCATACAAGCATGTTAATAGAAAATACAGCTCTATCCTGTCAGTAATTTGATGTTTTAAGAACCGAAGATGGATAAAGGAGCTCACCATAATAATCTTGCAAGCAACTGCATAAGAGAGTAAATTTTAAAGTACTTAGGAAGTATGCAAGTAATCGGAAAGCCAGCACCAATTCTTCTTTCAGAGTGATTGGGTAATACAAATTACCAAGTTTAAAGCAGTATGAATTTCAAGGACATCTGGTGACCTGCCAGCTTCCTTCGTCTGAGCTGAAGTTCCATCTCCTTGCCTAACGCTTAGGACTTGAACAAGGTTTTAGTGTGCTGCTTATTTCTGTAACAGATTTTTAGAAAGTGAAAGCCAAGTTTCTGAAGGTGCTGTTCAGCCAGTCTGCAAGACCAGAACTAATTTTTAATTTTGCTCATACCTTTGACTTGCCTGGTTAACATGGGTGAACTCAGAGTTAAAATTTCACAGGCAGTGTTTCATATTCTGGGAACACCAAAATCACCTTCCTGTGAGGGAAGCATACCTCAGCTTAGGACTTCCAGGACTAACAGTATTCTAGTAGCTGATTGTAAACTGCTTTACAGGTGTTAAAATTTCAACTCCCCAACAGGCTACCATCTCTGTTAATATTTCTGATCCTTGTTTGTTTTTTCCCTTCTCAGGACCTACTGATGGTAACCTACTTGGCAAACCTCACACAGTCACAAATTGCTCTCAATGAAAAACTCCTGAGTTTATAAAGAAACTTCTGCCACCCTGCATTTCCGAGAGCGTGAAGAATGAGCAGATACACTTTTCTATGGTGGTGTTACAAATTTCCTTGGACCGTAATTTAATTACGTAGATGACTTGGTTTACATCTTTGTTTCCATTGCCCTGAAAAATCCTTCACGTGGCTTAGGAAATGAATGGGAATGGCTCAGTATTTCAAAATGGAATACGTGAATCTTTTGTCTCCTGGGTTTATCTACTTGTATAACAAAATACAGCTTTATTGTAAGAAGGTATTTGAAATAAAGTTCCGTTGCAATGGCAAGAATGGCTTCTGTCCAGAAAGAACTGTTCTCAGTTATCATGTAATGCATCCACCTTTGAAAGAAAGGGGAAAATGAGGAAAGAAAACTAGAGGGGATGCAAGTCAATTGCAGTTCTGCAGACTTCTTTGCAGGGTTATTTTCCCCACAACTTTTAAAGCACACTCAAAGTGTGACTTCTTGTGTTGCACATCATACACTTTTCCATGAAGGACTCCAGAGTGGTCACGGGTGTGTGAGTGGTGCTGTGGCTATGCCCTTCTTCTGCAGGGTGCTGACAGTTAGGAGATGGCAAATTCAGTTTATGTTATAGTATCGTTTTTATGCATGTCTGATCCTTTGGGAAAGGAAATCACAATCAATAGCATTAGCCCCTCATAAAGTGGGGGTGCAGAGAATTCAACTAGCAACTGAGTTCATGGTTAAAGTGTATGAAACGCATTTGTGGCTGAACAAGTGTAGCTATTGGAGTTCCCGTCTTTGCAAAAGAAGAAAAGCACAGCGAAACGGCAATCATAACTTCATCCATTTAAGTATTCCAAAAGTTTTCAAGTCAAGGTGTTGTTTAAAGCCTTGAAATAGGTGGAGGAAAAGAGCAAGCAGCAAAGCTGGATAAGTCTTTTAATTACTGCAGAAAAATTGCAGGGGGCGAAAGCATAATATTCTGTCCCTGATCTCTCCTCCACAGTAAACTCCTGCCATTCCCTGTCAGGAAAACTGATATAAGAAGTATTTTAAGCACTCTACAGGTTGAATAGATACGTTATTAAATAAGCTGCTTTGCACAAAATGTCAAGTCTTGAGAAGAAAGAGCAATTTGTGATCGTTCACATGGAAAAGGTATTGTGGAACTTGCCAGTCCTCACAAGTACCTGAAGCCTGATGACAATACGTCATAAGGGACTGAGGTTATGTCTGCCTGGGTAGAAAGATTCTCTGCAAGGCAGAGGTGTCAGAAGAGGCCACAATCCATAGGTTGGGTTGTCTATGCCAGGCAGCACGGTGACAAGTGCTTGGAATTGGAAAAGGAAAAAAACAGTGTCCCTTTTAAAAACTCTGTATCTGATCCCATCCATTCTGTCCTGTTTTTTACTGGGCGAACCTTACTTTGACTCTGGAATTTGGGATGCCTGATTGCAAATTTCAGTTGCCACTCTGCCTGGGCAGTATTATTACCTAGGAGGCATTCCTCCTCTGGAGTTTTGAAAATCTAGACAAGAATTCTTAAAGGTATTGAAATTGTTCCACTGTATGTAAATCTAGCTAAAAACTTGAACTTCAATAGAAAATCTGGTGGGAAAAGCTTGGGAGTCAAGAAACTTCACCAAGGATTTCGAGCTTTAACTTGCTATTGATGTGGAAACCACAGATTTCTTGGATTTTTTAGGAGACTTTTTCCTTTCTTTTGGTTTGTTTAGGACACATTGCTCAGAATAACTTTGACAAAGTCTAGCTTTAAACAGTCAAGACAGTTTTCTGGGTATGCTTCTACATACACCATGTATTGTATTTAGTCATATTAGTGCCCTCACTATAATAAAAACCTTTTTTATCCTCTGTGATGTGTTCAGTCCTTTTCTTACATGGCTTCTCTGAATAACTTTAGTGCACATTACCATATTACATATTTATTTCTGGCAATGTGCATGCTTTCCTGGTATTAGGTTTTAAAATACCTTGCTTCCATGGCTCTGTTACCAGCTCCTGCCACTCAAGCATTTAATTGCTCAAATGACGATAAGATCTTTTTTTTCATATCCCAGCTTAGTTGAGCTGATCATGGGTTTTTACCTTGAGGTGAAGTTCTCCTTGAAAATTTCTTTTCCCCAATATACGTAACACTGAGAACAGAGTTTACTGTTACAATTGATTCTCCCGTTCCCTTTTGATATACTGTGTATTTAGAAAATTTGGAGGAATGCATAAAATCAGTCCACCTTGCTGCCTTGGGCCCTTCTCAGACATCTCATCTCAGCCAGCCTCAACTAAGGGACGTTTCAGCAAAGCATCTCTTGGCAGTACAAGGAGGCAACAAAACCTTGTCACTTTTTTTAGTTAGCACGGTGACCTATGATGACCTGCAGTTTAATTATCATGCAGACATTATGCTTCTTACTTGCATAGAAGGACTGTGCTTGTTTGCATCTCAGCAAGTGCGTGTAAAACCCACAGGTGCGCAGAAGTGCTCTCAAAGTCAATACTCGCAGGACAAACTACCTCTAACAGAAACACCTTCTTTAAATTTGCAGGAGGGAGCCAGTAATGCTCCAGCATTTCTTAACTGATGAGAGTCTCAACAGTAGGGAGAAGGTGGGCACCTGATGGTAATTAGCTTCCCTGTGCTGTGTCGTGCTGCAAGGCTTGCAGGTGACATCTGTCTGATTCTTCAAGAAATATTAGCAGAGAGGTGGCACACAACCCTCCAGTTTCCCGTGACTGCTCTCAAAGTCTCGGGTACTTAGGATCAATGCTGCACAGAACACTTCTGGCAGTGACTAGGATTAGAATAAGGTCCAAAGGGACACCTTGCAAACAGTTTTGTGTTACCATTAGTTTGCTAGTTAAGCTAAAAAGCAATTGAAATTTGACATTCTAAATTCATGTGACTGAAGAAAAGGGTTAATACTTTGTGTTTCTCTGGGCAGGGAAAGAAGTTTGCGCTATGAATTTGGTATGTTTAACAGACACTTCATTGTTTTCTCTGGTTCCCTGCATCCACTAACTTTATCTTAGAAGGGGTTTCCCAAATCACTAATTCAGTTCTTTCCCACCTTGACCAACTGTATCTTAATTTCTATTTTAAATATACCTAAATATAACTCCTACGTCCTTGCTAGAGTTTTTACTTCATGCCCTCCTGGTACAACCTGCTATAGATAGCCATCCTGCTGTAGTTCGCTTTGCTAAACACATTAGGCTGTATCTCCTTCCTTCTGATGAATTGCCTCTGCTTTGATCACTTAGCTGCCCACTTAAAACTTAATTTCAGTCTTTCTTGAACTTGAGTTGGGAAAGACCATACCCATACCAGCATATCAGTCAGTGAATAAAAGAATACATTAATATTTTCCTGTTATAAAGTCCTTGTTATAAAGTCCTGGTGTCTGTCATGTAGTGTGACTGAGAACCTCCATCTCTTGCCCCTGCTGTCATTTGCAGCTGAACTCCAATTTGCTAAGAAAATTATTTACTTAAATGCATGGCCTAGCACATACTTCTCCTTGTTTGGATTGTTCTCAGTATTGATTACACCTCACAGATTTTTCAGCTGGGATCATGAGCTTATCCTAACTCTTGTGCCCTACTCAGTTAAGGAAAAGCTCAGAATTGATCCCAGACCAACCTAATGGAATTCTACAAATTCCCTTTTTGGCATAGCCTCTTCCTTTCTCACAAGCTCTTTATACCTGGCTCATGCTAATTCCTGTAGTTTAACTAAATATGGGTCTTTGTCAAGCCTTCTGTGGACATCCAAGTGGTTTATCATAGAATGGCCTAGGCTGGAAGGGACCTTAGAGATCATTTAAACCAACCTCCCTGTCACGGGCAGGTGTTGCAGGGACACCTCTCATATACCACTGGATAAGCCCTGGAAAGAGGAGAGAAGACTGATTGTTCTATATGGTTGAGAATAACAAACTATTTTGCAATCTGCAATTTGATACTTAACAAAAAGTTCCTTGCTGCCAGAATGACAGTTTCATTTGGTGATTATTTCCATATACTGGGATGAAGGTCACCATGTTTGCCTCGTTAATTGAGTCATTTAAGTTTCTTGGCAGAACAGTTAAGTCTACCGCAAAGAGGAAGCAGCATTTTGGTGCAGGGCTTCACAAACTTGTGGACATACGGCACATAAATTTAAAGCGCATGAATTTAACCCTAAGGATTAAAAAGTTTGTGATGAAAAACACTGGGCATGCTGCTCTCTTAGGCAGTCTAACAGAACTACCTGCTGTTCTCCTGCTTTGAGGAAGGGTGAAGTTCCTATTTTTAGTGTGGTTCCACACAACACAACTTGAGGCCCTGCTGGCAACAGTTGTACATTTTGTGTGAAATCTTGATGTTTGGACAACGGTAGGTGGAACCCTAACATGAGTCACTGGGCTGTGCCTCTCCCTGGAGCAGCTTAAGCTAACGCACGCTCTTAAACTTGCTCTGCTCTCTCTGCACACAGAAGGTTAACTCAGCAGCTAGCTCTGACAATCTGCATTTTAATTACTGCAGTCACAAGGCATCGTAACAGGAAAAGTATTTTTAGCATATAATTTAGACTTGGACCACTGCAGTGTCCTGGTGGTTTGTTATACTTTGACCTACAGTACAAAGCTGATCACATCTTGTTGCCTGCAAGAAATTGTGTGGAAGTAGTGGGGGGTTTTTAATTGAACTGCATTGGCTGAAATAGCACATCAAAAATAATGCTTCATATTATTTAATTGGGAAAGAATGTTCTACTCAGGTTACATAGCATAGAAAAGCAGAAATGCTTGAGTGACCTATGTCACTAACAATAAGTTACTCAAAAAAAAAGTTTTGTTTTGATGCTATTGATAGCACTTAGTACAACTGTGTAGCTGAGAACCAAGTCCCTCCAAACAAGACTCCTGTCCAGTATCATGTCTTAACAGAAGATGCAAGTATATTGCAAAAGAGAAGAGTGAGAGCTTGTCTCTCTAGCTTACTAAAGTTGAATTTTCTAATAGTGAGAAGTTGCCTGGACTCTGCATGGGGTTTTAGCTCTCCTAAATGTGCTGGCTCTAGTAACAAGCCAAAGGATTTCCTTAAATATAGGGAGTGAAATTAGACAACCACAATGGTTCCATTCCATGCTTTTAAAAACTCATTCCAGATATTATTGTTAACACATAAGCATGCAACACATTTAACATTCTTCAGACATGTGCGATTTTGTTAAAATGTTTTCTCTTGTGCTTTTCCCACTTGTTTGTGAAAAAAAAGGCTGTTCCTTTCTGGAATAGCTCAAATCCAAACAGACTGC